AGAGAGAGAGAGAGAGAGAGAGAGAGAGAGAGAGAGAGAGAGAGAGAGAGAGAGAGAGAGAGAGAGAGAGAGATGATATGCATGTGTATGAACATGCTCTTACACAATCTGAGGTCGTACTCCAACATTGTGATTTTACTATAGTAACAGGGACAGCACAGGCAGCATTCAGGCCTCTCCGAAAAGCGCAGTGTGACTTGTCGCAATATGTGGAACCCACTTTTTGGGGGGGGTGCTCATATCACTACCCCCAGACCATCCAGCCGCCGACGGTGTGTAAAAAAAAAAAAAAAAAGGCGCAGTGTGACCATCCGCATTCACAAAGGAAATCAGAAGAAGAGAGAAAGGAGTTCAAAGAACAAGAAGACAGAGGGAAAAAAATTCAAAAAAAACAAAAAGAAAAAAAAGAAAAAGAAAAGAACTTTAAGAAAGACAAAACAATGAAAACTTCAAAACATAGAAAACGTCCGTAGGCACTTTCGATTCCGTTGACTGCCTACATCGCCCTCCCATTTAACGGATGGCTACCATCTTCACCCGAATAGAACGCCCGGTCATTATCGCCGTATTTGGAGCAACTTTCAGTCTAGACGCAGCCATAATGGGTCTCGCTCCACTACTCTCGAAAGGTGCAAAACGAGAGTGAATCTTCCGCTAGAACATGGAAAGATACACCACCATAATTTGTGTCTTTTATGCATTTCAAGAGTAGTGGAGCGAGGCCCAATGACCGGGCGTTCTATTCGGGTGAAGACGGTAGTAGGCTACAAAAGCGTTGAAAACATCGGCACCGCGTGCACTTTCGATTCCGTAGTCTGTAAAATGATCGACTGCTTACGTCGCCCTCAAAAGAGTTGAAACATTCGCAATTTTGCACCCTGTCCTTGAGGACTTTGTTAAAATTGGGACGATACAGAGAAGATTATCATGGGCCCTGTCCAATGATGATTTGCAATGATGATGCACAAATCGGGAAAAGGTCCAAATGCCAAATGGTACAAATTTTCTACACCAAAAAAAAAAAAAAAAACATTTGCAATTTTGAACCCTAACAACACAGGCGTTTCTGCTCTGTGCAGTGATAAAAAAAGAGTGCAGTAGCGGCGATATATGGGGCCTTACTCCACTGCACAACACTCTTGAGTCTAGATACATTTGGACGTTTTCTGGACCGGATACATAAGAAATGTTGGACTCGTCAAAATGCACTTGGTCCCAAAAGCCTCCAAATGCATGTCAAAGTGTTTTGTAGTGGACCGAGGCCCTATACTTCTCTGAGGTGGCATGGTTTGGGAGAAGATCACAGATCTTTGGCCTAGACTCTTCTCATTCCCCCCTCCCTCGGCTTCCACTTTCTGCAGATTATACAATTTATTGACATTTCACACACCATTCACGCCCTGTCCAGACCCCGATTCGACTTCATCGGGAACTGAACACTCTGGACAACATGGAAAAGGAGATGCTAAAAAAAAATTGATGGCCATGAGGTGGAGAGAGCAGCCACATGGGCTCAATTAAGGGATCTGATAGAGACAGAGATCAAAATCCAGTGACAACGCATTTGGAGGCTCTCCAAAGATAATCTACAGACTCCAGGTTAGTCACGCGACGGTCGGCGGCCCTGGACCCGTTGGCTGCCGACCAGCCGACGGTAGGCGCCGTCGGCGCTGACCAGTAGGCACCCCGCAAAAAAATAAAAAAAATAAAAATAAAAATAAGAAAATAAAAGAATAAAAAATATATATATATATATTGTCACATCACTACAAACTAAAAGAGCGCACTTTGCGGAACCAAGAATAAAAGCAAAAAACGGGCACAGTGGTAACATGCAAAAATAAAAATAAAAAGAAAAACAAAAAGAAAAAACAAGGGCAGATTGAAACCATTAAATTTCTCATTCTTCTTTGAACTCCACCTCCACTGTGCCTCTCACGTGCAAGGCTCGCCACGTTGATGA